CTACAACATTTCAGGTCCCACTTGTTTAATGTAGATTCTCCCGCAAGGGTGGGGCAGACAGCATTGTAGAATGTGAAAAACGTTATACCTATACAATATACTTATCGCTGTGTAAAGACAGGCAAAGAGAATAAATTCTCGGTAAAGCAGTTTGTAGATGCTTCCTTTCCATTTGAGAAGTAGCCTGTGGAATCCAAAGAAGGTAGCATTTGCAACTTTACTGGAGTATGTGACGGTCATCTCTCCAAAATGCTTTTGAAAAAATGGAAGACAAAAGGCACAATGTGTAACCAATGGATTTCATGGAGAATATTGATTTAAACCTAAACCATCATGGCTTTCACAATGAAAGGTGTCATGAGAATGTTCCTGAACTGGATATACTACGGTAGCACTGATGACATTATCTAGTTTGGGTAATGAAATATCTGCAATCTCAGAGAACATCATTTCAACCGTGAGCTAAAACTATTCTCCTTTATTGGATATGGGTATAATTTCATCAAACTAGAGTTTTCTCAGTTGCTTTTTTAGAATTACAGTAATGTAATTCATTTTCCATCCTGCTACCCTTTGGATACATTAACGTAACTTCAATGAAGCAGAAGTTAGATACCTGTAGAGGTCACTATGTTGGGAAAAGTTGGTGTAGGTAGTGAATTGCATTGCCTTAGTCAACCACTAATCATGGCACTGCAACAATATTATCAAGTCTCAATGTACAATTGTTGAACTAGAACTTTCTTTAAAATTATTTTTATGTTTTGTGAGCTGCCCAGTGTCGTATGTAATATGGGTAGTCACATAAGTACTTGTTGCTGATTTGAAATATTTTCATTGCTTAAGCTAACTAAAATCCAAAGTTACAAGATGTATTTGTCTTTATTGATGGTATACATCAGTGGTTTTCAACTTTTCTTCACCACAGACGCCCTTTAAATACCTTCTGTGGCCATGGACCCCTCCCCAAGACCTAACTCAAGATTTAAATCATAAAATTTCTTCAAGCCTTTGTGGACTCCCTGTGATGACATTGTGCCCCTCCCAGAGATCACAGACCACAGATTGAGAAACACTGGTACACAAGTTTCTTTCTAATAAATATGTAAGTTGCAATTTTACTTATTCAGGTAGTTTCTGGAAAGCATGATCCTTTGATGACAGTTGGGATTCAATCAAAGTTAAAAAAAGAATTAAAAATGACAAAAACATTAGGACTGAGCCACGTATTGATTCTAGTTCTAACACAAATCATTCCATGGGCTTAGTAAAATATATTTAAATATTTTTAAGTATATGGAAAGTAATAATTAGAGGTATTATTCTTCCCTAAGGCCCAAATTACTAAAAACAACTAGACATTGGGAAAAGTTTGAGAGTCATCTATTGTAGGAATATTTCCACCATATTTTTTCCATTTTTTAAATACAAACATTTTAGAGTAATTCCATAGTGCTATAAGCATGCAGAGTAAATCTAACATATAAGGAATGAAGTGTTTGTGGAAAGGCCTCAACTATGTTTAAGCAAAGGGAGGCTTATGAGTGATGCACCTCCACAAAGCTTTGCTATGTATTTTTGGAGGTGGTAAACTGCCTGGGTATTGATTAAATGTTAAATTAATTGTCCATGTTAGAAATGTATTAAGAAATCAGATATAGTTTTCAAGCACTCATAGTGATGCCAAAACAAGAAACACAATAAGATTTTGGAAACACTCACCGTTTATTCTGGCTAGGGCACTCAAATACAGAGGTGATGATGTGGGGGCTGTTGTGTTCCCCAAATAAAAACATTCAAGTTACTTTGTTCCCTTTGCTTTCGACATGCAGTCTACTGGGGCTCTAATTTGTCCCTGGAGCTTTCACAGGACTGGACTGACAAGCACAGGGGTGAACGCATCTTTCCACTTTGGGAGGTGTGTTTTTGCCAAGTTTACTTCTGCTGTCACTTACAACTGAGAACAAACATAAGCAACAGCTGCTGATCTGGCTCATCTCTAATCTATAATTATCCTCCACTTGTTCTTCATAGGAGGACCCCTTTGGTGGGAAACCAGAATCATGGAAATAATTTGCATCAGACTTTTCCAGTTGGGACGCATTCCTTCTGCCATTGCTCAGTGACATAAGAAAGGTCAATTATTCAAAAAGGAAGAAAGAAATGAAAAAGCAAAAAAAGGTAAAAGAAAAATGCTTTTCAATTCTTTGTTATTAAAACATAAGAGTCAGAAAGGAAAAAACATTCAGGCTTTTGAAGTTGTAGCCTAAAAACTATGTGAAGTTTATATATTTGTGCAAACTAGTCAAAGGTGATTGGACCAATTAAAGGATATTACATATTAACTTCTCAATGACCTTTCTCTTGAATGTAGTTTCCACAGGATGGACATAATATAGCATGAGCAGCTATGGAACTAATGCTTATAAAGTCCCAAATTGTAATTATAACAAACAAAATATGCAGAATTATTAAGAATTAGATGATTCAGAATGCAATTCCAAAGGTTTAAGTCTCAATGGTTAAATATGTAAATATGCATATGATTACTTTGAAAGTTTACATATCTCTGTCCTTTTACCTGCAGTATCTCTATGAATAGATACTATTTGAATGTTACATAGGATAAGGAACTGGTGTCAGGAAAACCAGAAACTGTTATTCATTTTCTCATTTTTTACAGGATTACAAAGATGGAGTTCTGTAAACTGGGCTAACCTATAGGAGGAGGATTTGGCAGTGGAACAACTGACAAAAAGACATAGTTCAGAAATCCTAATGCAGAATAATTTATGATGAGATTACTGTAGAATTTAGTGTAACAAATGATAAAGTAGCTGTATATTCAACCAAGTGTTATTGGCATTACAATGCAATGAATAAAGAAGCAGGATGACATATATCTGATATGGGGGAGAGGTCACATTTTTCTAATATTGGTCAGTAAATCAGTCAACACCATCTATTAATCTAGCAGATTACTTAGATTTGCCATGTGGAAAGTTAGCAAAGTGGGAAATTGTAAGGAACAGAGCAAAACATAGCTATATAGCCTAGAAATAAAACATGAAAACAACTTATCCGTTTTCAGATTTATTTCTTCATTGTGAACATATTTTTCAACAATCAAGTGATACCAATGTGCACATATGTTGTCAGACAGAATATACAGAAATCAAATTGATTATGTTAATGATGCAAAGAGGTTATAACAGCAAAGACAGGGGCTGACTGTGGAATAGATCACATAATACGTGTGTGCAGGTTCGACAACCAGTTTCTGCAATAAGATCATAAGCACATTCTTTTGCAAACAGAATGCCAGGAACTGCTCTGAAGTCCTGAACTTCATTGATATGGAACCAAAGGACTGTGGAATAAAATCAAATAAATTGTTAAGGTTAAATATGAAAAGAGACTACCAAGGGCCAAGCAATAGAAGAAAGCAAAATGAATGTCAGAATAAGCAGTGGAAATTGCCATGAAGAAAAATCAAAGCCAGGAAAGACAAATAGCTCAGAAACAAAAATTTCAGAAAAGACAAGAAGCAATATGTCCCAAAGGTGCCTTTTTAAGAAGCAATTGGTCTGAAGCACCTTCAGGACAACCATGACCTGGATGGCTGAGAATCCCCACAGACACAAGAAGCAGTATTTACAATGACATTTGTAAAGACATCAAAAATAGAAAAAACATGAACAGAAAAATAAAAATTTCCCTAAAGATCTCTGTACTCAGTAGAAGATTCCAACTTCAAATTGGTATACTAAAGGATACTAATAAACAGATAGCAACTTGTTCAAAGAAGAGCAAAGATGAAAGGAGTATAATGATATCTCTATAGAGTAGAAATATCAAAATCCAAAATACTTCAGAACAATGGCTGCTAAACCAAGTACCTCTCTTTTTGGTCTCAAATAAAACTGATTTCAGAGTTATCAGTAGGTCTAAATTGTCTTGTGCCCAAAAAACCAGTCTGGCATTTTGTGGACAGATGCCTCTGTGGAAACCAGGTATCCAGTGTTTCCAATAGCACAAGCCAAAGTTGGTACGGAGGGCAATGCCCAGTGATCACAGCAACTTTGCCCACTTTAAGGAGAATGTTTGGTGATTGTTTTTCTTGGCAACGGTTATGCTGGTGAGAAAGGGAAAGGAAGTCAGGTAACTCACTAATTATTTTCATTAATTTGATCCCCATTAAAACTTTTGGGACAGCACCACTCATGACGAAGGTATGATAGGACTTCATACTCAGGAGTGTCCACAGGGTGTAGTCAAAAAAAATCAAGAGGCCAGCCAAGTCCATTTTTATGCAAAACATGCACAAAAATCAGGTGGAGTTTCAGTTGCACCATTGTGGCTGCCGTACTTGACTTTTTAAAAAACATACAGCAGTTTGCAGACATCCTTGATCATAGCTTATGAAAACGTCTTTTCTTCCGAAGAGCGTAAGATTGTTCATTATTTACTTAGCTATAAAAAATGTTTTACAAATCTCTGTTGCGGACATGGTCCTGAAAGTGTTGAGTCAAAGCGACACTTTTGTTGGGAAACAATCCTGCTCAGCCTCAGGTAATTTCTGCATTTTTTCGGAGGTGGGAAAAAGCCTCGCACGGGCCACTTAGCTGCTTTAAAAAAATAACAGTCGAAGCAGGAAATATGGCTGGAATGATGATTATACAGTTTGCATATGTCATCATTTTGCTTCTCTCCCTAGAAAATACTGCTCAGGACGAGTCCAAGTGAAAGACAATTTGCAGAGAATTTCAGAGGGATTAGTGTCAAGTTCCGATTCTCGTATTTTTCTCGCTTCCCCGCGAAAAAGCAGCTTTGCCAAAGCTGCCGGGGAACCTCCACTCCGGCATGAGCATGCAGTGAAGAGTCACATCCCCTAGGGGGAGCCGCGCAGCTCTCCGCTCCACCCCAGAAGTCCTACCTGGCATAGGCGGACTCCAGTTCCGCCCGGATCGAGGTTGTTGTGCTTTTAAACGCGTGCGCAGTCGCGCCTCGTTGTGCCTCTACCGCTGGCTTTCGGGATCGGGTCTCGTAGCCGGAGCGAGAGTCGCCTGCGGCTGGGAAGGGTGGCCTTGCTGGTCTCCGCAGGTAAGTCCCGCTGCTAGTTTTTCCTCCTCCTGGAGTTACTCAAAAGCTGTAGCTCCAGAGGAGGCATCGGATTGCAAGTTGCAACTATCATTACCTCTGGCTAACGTGGTTGGAGACTCTGGGAGTTGTAATTCGACACAGTTGAGGGCAGCGGGTTGCAGAAAGATGCACTTCAGCCTTTTCTTTTGCGTCGTCTCTGTGCCGCCGCCGTGGCAGCCAGCGATTAATGGAACCGCGTTTCTTTTCCCAACCCCTCGGCAAGCGCAGGTGTCTGTCTCTCTCTCTCTCTGTCTCTCTCTCCTTACTCAGGTGTTTCAGGCGCCACTCTGACCGAGCGCATGTGCAAGGTCACTCGAATGCCTAGGTTTGGCTCTCTTGCTCTCCTGAGCCCGGCAATGATTCCTTCCACACACACACACACGCACTTAGATCATATCCAATTTTGTAGATGGGCTAACGCCAGAGCTCATTTGGAAGTGTCTTTAACAGCTTATTCAGCATGATGCTTTTAATTCGTACGGTAGAAAGGAACGTAGTGTGATAAACGGAGGATATAAATATATGGATAATGGAAATTGTTATTTCCGGCTTGCTAGATAACTCAGTATTATACCGCACATTGAACATTCAGAATCTGCTGCTGGGGCCTGAGCATCCAGCATCCATTGCGCTTTCTTATTTTCAGAGTCATCAAGCAATCTGCTGCTTTGCTCTCATTAGGCTATTTCTCAGGTTCCCTGAATTCTCGGGCCCAGAATCTGCACATTTGAACTGATAGTTTGCAACATTCACGGGAGTGGATTTTGATAAAGCTGATTATTTTCCAAGATGCTGCAGCGCTCTTGTTTTTCCCCAGAGGCAAACACAGCCATTCTGAAAATGTTTATTTTGTTTGTGAGAAGGCCAGAACTACAATAACCTAGATACCTGAAAATACAGACCAAAAATGTGCAAAGCTCCTGCAAGTATGTCTGGCCTAGCAGAATCTCTTCTGTTTTCCCAATGTCTGAAAGTTGTGTTCTTCACCTCCCTGAACCTGTAGACATAACTTTTATTAAACTAGAGTGTTGGTTGCAATGGCCAGAATAATTTTGTTTGGACTTGATCTGTTTTTGGTAACAGGTTAATATTAACTGGAGATTACCAGTATTGTAAATACTACAGATTTAAAGTAATAGTATTATATCATTGAGGTTAAATTGGTTGAGGGAACAATGGGAATATATGTTACTGCAGGTTTGACATTAAAAGTCTTTAATGAAGCATTTGATAAAAATTGCCTATTTAATTCTTCATTGAAATTAATAGATTGTGGATTATTTTAAAAATATTGAAGTTGTACATAGCTCTTGGAAAATTACATCTGATAAATAATGGAAAATTAATAATGCATGCATTTGAAAGCCATTGATACCTGAGCTTAATCTTTTATATACATAAAAGGGGATTGTTGGCAAAAGTTAAATACAGTCATATTTTATATCATTCACTTCACATGTTTTTTGCATATTGTACATGTCAGTTGCAGAATTCTTGTATGATTAAAATAACATCTGAGAATAAGGATAAATAATTCACTCTAGTCATTATGCTTTTAATAAATAACTAGTCTGTATAACTTGCAGTTGATTCCTTTTTCAATTTAAAGGGATAATACTTGTGGAAGAGAATTCTAATGGAACTTTTTTTTGTCAATAGAGAAAATATTTTGACTAGGTACAAGGAAAAAGTCCTTGGCATTATATAAATTGGATACTTTTAATTGTTTTTGAGGCTGTTCTGAAATGTTTCAGTGAATATCACAGTGTTTAGCAAAGCTGAGAAATCAAACTGCAAGTATTTCCAGAAAGCTTTTCATATGGGCTCCAGTGGCCTCCAAAGCATGTCAATTACAAATTATAAAGTGGCAGGTAGGGATGTTAAACGCCCTACTGAAAAGTAATCACATTATTTAAATTTAATTTAAATACCAATCAGAGGCAGTTTTTATCCTAACCATCCTTTATCAGTGTAGACTTCGATATGTTTAAAGTCCGGTTCTAGACTTTGCTCCCCACCCCAAATGTTGCAAAGTCCTGCTATAAAATATTTTTGCTGCAATTATTTTAGTTTTTTCAGGCTATTATCCCATCAGGGATAATAATAAAATATTAAAATGCATTCATAATCACAATTATATGCATATATAGTCTTCACAATCCAGTAAACATATTTGAGGCAATTATTTGAATAACCTGTCTCCAGTCTTTCCCTTAATAAAATAGTGATCTTATTAGATATAGAAACCAAACATGAATTAATAGCCACCAGGGTCTATGAACCTTAACATTTCCTAATAATCTAACATCCAGATGCAAGGGTGAAATTGAAGAGAAAATGGTTGACTGAGGTCTTCCCTCCTATTGTAAAACAAATAGGGCTATTGTCAAGCAAAGCATGTGGTTAATAAGATAGCCAGAACTTGATATCTGCTCTGCAAATTATTGGATATTTTGTTAAATGTTGTAATAGACAAAAATGCTTCCAATTTTAAAAGTATCTTGGCTATTAAATCTTCACTTATACCCCAGAGTATTAATCAAACCAATGTTCCTTCAATGCTATTGGAATGCAGGTTTAGGAATATCTTCCAAAGTGCTGGAATCTTATCCTTGTGATTCAGTGATTCAATTACAGATTGGTCCATGCCCTCCCTTACTGTACTTCATTCTTATAAAATTGTAACAAATATTGCCTTTGATTAGGAATATTCCTGGATAATCTGAAGAATATTATAAATCATTGATGCTGTTCAATGTTGCTGTCTTGTATTTTTGTCTGTGGCTGTAATAAAACCCATCAGGCAACTAGTTGCAGATGACCTGCTGAATTGGTAATGATAAAAGTTCAGTTGGAGTAGACCCCAATGTCATTTTTACCTGCAACCTTCATTTCCTTAGATTCCATCCTAAATGTTTTCTTGGCAACTTTTTTCAGAAGTGGTTTGCCCTTGCCTTCTTACTAAGGCTAAGACAGAGTGACTGGCCAAAGTCACCCAACTGGCCAAAGTCACCCAGTGACTGGCCAAAGTGACCCAGCTGTGTACCGAAGGCAGATCTAGAACATACATTTTCCAGTTCCTAGCCTTGTGACTTCACCAACAAACTGGCTCCCTTCAACACATACTTCAATACATAGTTAGTTATTTTGCCAAAATTATTTTCAGCTTTTAAAAGAACCTAATCCTTCATCATGGTATATTAAATATTTTATGATCAACTCTTACATTCCATTAATCTTCATTACTCATTGTTCTGCTCTTTTGATTACATAGGCACCTGTTTGGTTGCAGGAACTATTTTTAATGGCTGTATTGTTGAACTAAGTAAGTGCTATGTTAATGAAGTTGAACTATTATGTGTTAAGAAAAGTAAGTCATTTAGAGGTAATACTGATTTTTAGTTGTCCTTTGGACTTTGCGTTCAGTTGAAAATCAGGAGATTGGCAGTTTAATCATTGCTGTATATGACAAATATTTACTATTTTTGGTCTGATATTAATCTTTATTAAAAGAAGTAGCAGATGTTAAACTCACTAAGAGTCAACATACCCAACTTTAAGTGCTTGAAGGACAACTTGTTGCTAATACTGTGTTAAGTAACTCATGTTGTGTTCCTGAGGTACATTCAAATTTCTATGTAGCATTAGTTTTATCTTATAAACATGGTATCTAAATTCAAAAATATAGGGCTTTCTTGGGGCAGGAAAAAAGACATTTGTTAGCAAATACAGAATAACTAAAGGGGAAATAATTTATTCACACAAAAAGCCCTTAGTTTTAACAGATAGTAATTCTTTTCTAATGATTGGCAATATTCTTTAAATATTATTAAAATTGCAACAAAAGAATAAAGTACATCCTTCAAAATTAATACAGCTATTACACTGATTTTTACAAGGGGGACATATTTGGTTTCAAAAGAACCTAATTTGGAATTCCCCCAACATATTGGCTACAATTCTCATCTTTCCCAGTTTTAGAATGATCCAAGTTATAATCAATACTTTTGAAACACGTAAGTTTGAGGAATATATTTTAGTTCTTATAAGACAACATCAAGCTACTAGTTGAACTTTTAGTTATTTTCAAGGATAACTCCTGTGCTGGTTCTCCATTGTAACTTATTTCTTTTTCTTATTTTTGGATTTATATCATATCTTTATGCCAGAAGAAAATTTAATTTGTAAATGTTTAAAAGTAATTTTTAATCTTTTTAAAGTATTCTTCTTTATCGTGACATTTTCTACAAAGGTTATCCCAGGTTATTCACTTACATTTATTGCAAAAGATTTCTCTAGCATGTCACTACAATGAAAAATAGCTGGTAATGAATTGCCAAAAAACAAAAGGGATGGTCCTCTCCAATAGCGTCAAACTCCTGTGTATATGTGTATGTTTGTGTTAAAATAATCAGGCCATAGAACAAGTGAAATGCTTTAAATCTAGGAGTGGTGTTCCAATCCTGTAAAAAGAAAAAAGATCAAGATGATTAACATGCCTTTGTTGTAAACTAAAAGAATGCAGCAGTGATTTTAAGATTATAAATTTAAAATTCCCACCACTGTTTTCTGCCACAAAAAAATTAAGGGTGGGGGACATGGCACTCTTCATTCTTTGCCCCCTGTAAAAAAAAGTGTAATCAGGATTTGTAATGTTTTTTTCCCTTGATATTTAAATGTGTGGGTAATGTGGCTCTGAAACTAGATGCTGGTCTTTGAACAAAAGAAATCTGCCAAGTACTGTAATTCTATTTGCTTGGCTGAATTTTAACCTGACACCAACTGGATAGAGATGGATCTGCTTGGTGGAAAAACACCGGAAGGAAAAAACCGACCTATGACATTTCCCCTGAATTTTTGTTACTTTCTGGTCTTGCAAATGTTTATTGGTCTTAAGACTTCTCCACTAACTCTATCTGCATATTTATTTATTCTAAATATCACTGGGAATTCACCAGAGTCTGTCAATGTCTTACCCTCAGCAATTTAGAGGTCAGGTAGTCCTTGATATATGACCACACTTAAGCCCCAAATTTCTGTTGCTAAGCGAAACAGTTAAGTGAGTGTTGCCCCATTTTATGATTTTTCTTGCCACAGTTGTTAAGTGAATCACTTCAGTTGTTAAGTTAGTAACACGGTTGTTAAGTCATAAATATAAACCAGTTGCCAAGCTTCCAGATTTTGATCACATGAGGATGCTGCAATGGTTGTAAGTGGGAAAAACTGTCATAAGTCACTTTTGTAGTGCCATTGTAAGTTTGAATGGTCACTAAATGAACTTTTGTAAGTTGAGGACTACTTGTACTAGCTCTTCAGCTTCCAAAAGTTAAACCAATGTGAAGCAGAGTAGGTTGGCATATTGGATGCACTCTCTTATGATATAAGTTTTGTTCTTAATTCAGTCTTTACTAAGATTGAAAAAACTTATGTCACCTTGATGAATTTTATATATTTACTGGACAAGAGTCTCTAAGGTGATATATATTATTGCAAAATTCTGCTATTCAGCCACAGATCCTGTTTGAATACTGTATATCTGTAAGAACTGAGATGAATAAATGGACTTAAGTTTCAGTCATGACTGTTTTCATGCTTTTTATTGCTGTATCTGGTTGCATTCTGATCTAAGAGCTGAATAATAATAATTATTTATAGAAAGAGAAAAGTACAGAAAAGTTATTTACTGCCTGGAGCCTTTTCAGTGAGGTAGTTTATAAATCTTATAAATACATACTCTTATACCCCATGCATATGGAAGGTTGTACAGTATAGGTTTTTAAAATGTATCTTAATTTTGAATTATGTAAATAATAAACAGATCTTTGGAGAGACTTGTGGATTTATGTTCTGTAGGTTATGCTTAAAATTGTTCATATGTTAATACTTTTGCTCTTAATACCACAAAAGAGGCAGTGATCGTTTCCATACTGTTGCGAAGAAAACAACATGGATGTACCTAAATAATCACCAGGAGTTAACCTTCAATTGATGAAGACTTTACTTTCTAATTTAGTTCCAAAGTAAACATGAGCTGGAATCTCTGCATAATTTATCTGATCTATTTGGAAAAAATGCAGTGAAGTGAAAGGCAGGTGCATCTGAAGAAGTGGGGGAAGGGAGGGCAAAGCCCAAATTGAGCACCACACTGTTACTGCTGTACATGTACTGTGACATTACAGGTATATGAGGGATGGTGCTTACTTACATCATGATTTTACGATGTTAACCTTTTCTGGTGAAACCACTGGATTCCGTGGATGCTTGCATCAACAGGCATGTAACTATTCCAAAGACTCTTGGTAGCTGTGCACTGTCATTGAATAAATACTAGAATAACATTATAGGAAGAAGAGCAGTTAAATAAATCAAATCACTAATTTGTAGAGGGCTTTCTTTGTGGGAGGAATTAATGGTAAGCCCTGCTGATTCCCAAAGATATTTGCTTATGCCAAGTCTGAACAGAAGTATTACCAGATGCAAAAATACTAGGTTTAATTAAATGCATCTAATATTAGGTTATGTTTTTTCTCCAACATTCTGTAGAGAAAAAAAATTCAGGCAGAGGCAGATGTGGAATAATTGATTGGAAATAAACAATGGAGTCTTTGGTGCTTTCTGAATTTGGTTGCTTGCAAATATTTCATTACTGACTAGATGTCTGTGAACATTCTCAGTCATGCAGATCAATGGTCGCCAACTGGGGAAAATTTTGGTGGGCTGCAGAGAAATCTCACCCCCAGAGCACCCCCCCCAAGCAATTAATTCAGGCTGCACAGAAACACAAGGCTGCACTGTCCACATGGCCCACCGCCCACTCACTCCTTAACTTGACTGCTAAAATTGCTATTTTTCCTTTTTCCAACCATCATCTGTTTGGCTGTGCCATGAGATTTAGATTAGCTAGGAAGCAGGAAATGGTTGGATTTCTTGCTTTCTAGCTAGTCTTTAGATCTTTGACTCTGCTTTTAATCACAGCCGAACCTCCCTTAGGACTGAAGGTTCTGTTATTCAGTGCAGACTCACGGCAAGCAAATTTGAGAGACTGAGCTAGCCAATGGCAGATAGATAGATCACTGAATGATTCTGTGGGCAACTCCATTTGCCTGCCTGCTTTGCCTGATTTTGGGTAAAAGTTGCTTTTTTAAAATAAAAAATTCAATATTTACATACATGGTGTGTTGTGAGTTAATTTTGTGAGTTTGCTTGCAAGCAAATTTTATGTGACAGACTGAGCTAGCCAATGGCAGATGGATAGATTTCTGAATGAATCTGTGATTCTGTGAGCAACTCAATCTGCCTGCCTGCTTTGCCTGATTTTGGATAAAAGTTGCTCTTTTTTTAATTAAAAAAAATCAATATTTATATATTTATAATATTTACATACAAGCCATGCCCAGCCAGTCACATGACCACCAAGCCACACCCACAAATTAGGCCATGCCCACAGAACCGGTTAGTGGTCTCTGGGATTTAAAATTATGAGTTTGGTGGTCCCTGAGGTCCAAAAGGTTGGCGACCCCTGCTCCAGGTCATGGTTGTCCCAAAGGTGCTTTTTTCATTTTTTTCTAATCAAGAAGAAAATCCCATCCCCACCAAAACTGGCACAGCAAGTAATTGTATATAAGCAGGGAGCAAACCCCAAACTTACTAGCACTGATATTTTATCTAGTCGGTAATGTCCAAAAAGGTGTTTTTCCCCCAAGAGGTAACTGGTTTTTCTTTGAAGTTGTTTCGCTTCTTATCCAAGAAGCTTCTTCAGCTCTGAAGCGAAAACATGAGAAGTGAAACATCTTTAACACACACACCCGAAAGTCTAGTTGCCTCTTGAAAAAAAGCACCTTAGTGACATTACTGACTAGATAAAATATCAGTGCTAGTGAGTTTGGGGCTATCTCCCTGTTTATATACAATCACGTGCCATGCCAGTTTTGGTGAGGATGTGACTTTCTCCTTGGTTGGTGTATTAGTTTCTGCTTGACTGTTTGTTTGGTGTTAATCCTTGCTTATCTAGGTGTTGGTTGCTGTAGAGAATGTGCTTTGGTCTTTTTGTTTCTTGGCTTTTTTCTTGTCACTTTTGAATGGTGTTCAAATATAATTTATCTCTATGTGTTTAGCTGATTTATCTGAGCACCAAACTTCTGTAAATCCTTTTTTCCTTCTTGGGCTACTTGGTGTTTTGATTTACTTAAGATGTTTTGGATGACTTTAGTTTGTGTGTAATGATGCAGTGTAGTTGTAATAGTCTGATGACTTCTGACATGTTTTTGATGTATGCAGCGTTACTCTCTTCATAACTTGTATTGACCAAGCTGTAATGGGTTGAGTGGTCAGGCACTTTTTGCTAAAATTGCATGGGTCCCCATTTTATTGGAAGATGTTATAGAGGCAGTCTTCTCCCTTTTTGTTGTGTTCTGAGGTGCTGCAGTGCACTTGTACTTATCTGATAATATTCTTACATAGCTCCTGTTGTGGGAGATTGGGTTGTTACTTTGATAATATAGCATTTAATTAGTATGGCTTTTTTTACAAAAAGACTTGCATTTCTTTTTCTTTTTTAAAAAAATTGTTTATTCAACGTTTCAACAGTTAAAAACAAATTTCCACATTTTGCCATGATACTATAGCAGTGTTTACAGACTTGCATTTCTAATTGGCCATCATTTTCTCCGTGGATGAGGATTTTTGAGAAGGTTAGTAAGTTTCCTTTTTTCTTTGTGAATGTTATCCCTTTGAAGATGTTGATTGTTTCATATTTTTTATTGTGATAAAGGTGTTTACATAGCAGATTCATACTTTTGGCTGTATGTATGGGAGTACTATCTAGGCATCACACCACAGTTGTTGCTATGAGTCCTCAGAATGGTGATCCCATGAATTCATGTTTTGGTATATTTATCCATCAAACTGAATATAGGTAATGAGGTAGAAGTTGATGAAGTCCATGGTTCTGGGAATTACAAACTTAGTGTATTTGGGAATTACAAACTTAGTGTATTTGGTCAGGTTGGATGTGTTGTGTACTGTAGTACTGTTGCTATGTTTTTTTTGTTTTTGTTTTTGCTACTTCTGGCTATATGACATAGAATGAAATGATCGGTTGAGGAATTCTAGAAGTTGAATCTTAAAGTTGCCAACATTGGTTTAAGTTGTAGTTGAGACTTTTCTGGAGGATATTACATTCTGCAGTGGTAAGTAGGCAGCTAGGAAACAAACAAAAAACCATATACGATTCTGGAATAGACTTTATCAAGATATAAATGCTGAAAAGTATGCACTGTAGGGAAAAATAGGGATTGTAGGTTTGTAATTATAATTTATAGATATAAAAAATCTAAAAGTATCTATTTAATGTATGTTACATATCATTTAGATTACAGACACATTTTTAATTATATTTTATAAATAAAAGTATAATTTATTTTTCCTTAGTTTGTTTAATTTAAAGTTGTGGGGATATGTGTTTGCCTGCACTTTCATTACAAAATGTTTTATTCATAAATACCTATGTAAATTCTGTCCTGATCTTGTTTGGAGAAATATTCCAGCATGTAAATTTATTTCCTGCCATCATATTCTGAAAAAGGGTTAAATGGTGGTTGTTTTCTGAAATAGTTTTGAGTCTTTGTTTAATTCTGCATGATTGTCCTTGAGTTACTTATTATTGAAAAATAGTGCTTGGCAAGTATAATACCCATAGTACCTTTTTAATGCTTCTTAACTGGCGATTAATCCAAAGCTTTTTGTATTCATAACTTCTTTTTAGTGGACTCATTTGGTTCATTTATTTTTGCTCTCCAATCAGCAAAATGAATACAGAATTGGTTCTTTATATTCTTGGCATTTAAACATAATATTTAGTCTAATAGAGAACTTGAGCGCTAGTAGAATTTTATCCAGAAAAAGGCTATGTTAATCTTCAGAGAATGAGTGCTGTAGTCAATCCCAAATATAAAAGTTAGGGGATGTTGAACTTTTTTTATGGACTATTTTTTACAGGTAGTCCTTGACCTCAATTGACCCCAAAATTTCTATTGCTAAGCGAGACATTTGTTAATGCCCCATTTTACAACCTTTCTTGTCACAGTTTTTAAATGAATCACTGCAGTTGTTAAGTTAGTAAAAAGGTTGTTAAGTAGTCTGGCTTCCCCACTGACTTTACTTGTCAGGTCACAAAAAGTGATCAAATGACTCCGGGATACTGCAATAGTCATAAATATGATTCAGTTGCCAAGCATCCAAATTTTGATCACGTGGCCATGGGGATGCTGCAGTGGTCATAAGTGTGAAAACTGGTAATAAGTTACGTTTTTCAGTGCCGTAACTTTGGTCACTAAATGAACTGCTATAAGTCAAGGATTACCTGTATCTCATAGTACCTAGGAAGAGATACAGTACTTTCACTTACATTTCTGATTAACTGAATTCCAGCACTGCATCCAAACCCTAAACTTGGAGATAAAGTAAACATCTTAAAAAGATGCCTTTCCTAGAATGAAATCATCCCCACCCTTTTAAACCATCCTCTTTTAATCATTTTAGATTGTTCTTCCTTCCAGCTTCATGGTTTATTTTTGCTGTCAGTTGATTTATGAGAAAAACCCACAGCCATTACACATGTATTAATGTTGATTTCCAACATGTCTCTAGAACAGGGGCGGGCAAACATTTTGGCTTGGGGGCCTCATTGACTTTTAAAATTGGACAGACGGGCCGCCACCTGGTGTCAAAATGTCTGTCATTACAAGTCAAAATCAAATGAATGCAATCATTCAATCATTCACATCAAACCTTAATTCTGTACCAATCTTCGGCGGGCCGGATTAAAAAGACCAACGGGCCGGATGTGGCCCGCGGGCCGTAGTTTGCCCCCCCCTGCTCTAGAAGCATTAAATCTGTACATTGTTTACATAATTTGTTTCCATCCTTTTCAGCGTTGTTGACTGTGCTTCCATAGCTATGATAGTAGTGTGGTATTGCAGATTGCTGGGAAGGGTAGCAGCTAACACTCTTGGGCCTGAATGCTGGAAGGGGTTGGATTACACTGTATAAAACTAAGGCTCAGAAGTGCAGCACCAAACTTTGATCACCGTTATCATGGCTATATCAAGTTTTTCAAGAAAATGCCAGGAATTTCAGGTTTGTGTTTTGCATTAAAAATAATACAGCTGAAAAAGGTGATATTTTCTCTAAGGAATTTAATATCACCTTGACTGAGCAAGATCAAATGGAAAGAACATTGAATATCCAATTTTGAATATTCAAAAAGTTTAACCCAAGATTATCTCACAGCGCAGGTTTGCCACATGTGTAGAAATAAGTACTATATTGACTATTGCTGTTATTTTTTATAATAGCTGAAGAAAATATCAGCTAGTACTTCATCAGGTTCATCTAATACGATTGATTCCCATAAATTCTCTACAGGAATCAGGAATATGTGTGAAACAAAAAAAATGAGACATCTCCATGAATAGAAAAATTATATTTCATGTGTTTTACAGCAATGGTCATCTTGGGCTTGATTTAAAACATAATCTTAACATAATTCTATTTCTATCTTTTTACAGATCTGTTCATCTCAATGCTTATGGAGAATTGTTTGATCAAAGCCTATCTTGGAATCTTCTAAGAATTTACCTTAACAAGGAAGAGGATTGGTGATTCTTCACAGATCCTAGGATTTAGCCACTGGCTTCTGAAAATAATACCCTATATAATGATTGCTGTATGGTCCCATTTTCTACCTTTTATCTGGCTTCGTCTTGTCTAGTTCCCCAATTAGGGTTGAGAAACTTTTTGGAATGAGAGTATATTTGAAATTTTGAAAACATGGGCAAACTCACTACATGCCATGTTTGGGGTTTACCTATTCCAAAAAGATTTTTATGCATTTTGGAAAACATCTTTTTACCCAAAGTCACTATGATGAGATAACTTTGCAGCATTTTGAATAATATTTTGTCTATTATTTATGCCTATTTATGGTTGAGAGCAGAGGTGGTATTCAACCAGTTCTCACTGGTTCAGATGAACCAGTAGCGGTGATTTGGCATGGGTTGCTGAACCGGTGACGACCACTGGCTGGCCATGCCCCCGACCCAATCGCCCGGTCACTCACTTGCCCAGTCGCTCCTTGCTTTCCCTACCACATGGCGGCTGCGGCACAGCTCAGGTGGGTGTCCCGGGGCTGCTGCACGTGTGCACTGTGTGTGTAGCCACTACACATGCAGTCCGCATGTGCAGCAGTTCCGGGACAGCCACCCACCTGCCCACCCTCTTCCTTCTCCTGGTGGATGCACCTCTTCCAACGCAGCCCAGCCAGTCAGCAGGTGGGTGGGCGGATGTCCCGGGGCTTCTCCCCTTGTCGCAAGATGCCTGCAGCTGCTGCGTGCTTTTTTCAGTGTGGCTGGAGACCAGCCCCACCCAAAAAAGCACGTCCTGTTCTATGTGCTGGGCCTGGCAAGTCCGAGTAGATAGCCCATAGAACAGGGCGGCGCCGGACAGTTGGAGAAGTGGAGCGAAGCCGGAGATCAGTAATTTTTGCTTCAAGAAGCCTGCAACTGCCGCATGTTCTCCAGCCCCACCGAAAAAAGCACAACATGCGCCAGCCCATTGGAGAACCGGTTGGGGGAGGTTTCTTGTGCCAAAAGAGGTGGCTGGAGGCTGAAAAAGAGTCGCTTCCAGCCACCTCTTTTGCAGCGCAAGAAGAAGCCTCCCCCAACCGGCTGGCTGCTCTCCTCCTCCTCAGCCATACAGAACAAACAGGTAGAGAAGGAGGAGAGCAGGCAGACTCAGCAGGCAGTCGTGATCTTTAGTTGGGCTTTTTTTTTTTCCGTCCAAGGGGGGGCGGGGGGGGGGGGAAGGCATGTAGGAAATCACCCTGTCTCTGTAGCATCGGTCATGTGACTGAGTGGGCGTAGCCAACTTGATGTCACAGCAAGGTGCCGTACCATCTTGCTGAAGTTGGCCATGCCCACCCAGTCACATGACCACCAAGCCACGCCCACAGAACTGGTAGTAAAAAAATTTGGATCCCACCACTGGTTCAGAGGCATTCTCATAAATAAATATAATACCAGCCACTCTTTCGTTAATTACATGAGTTTGTAAAACAAAAATCCACTTGGAGCAATATCTAGGTATCAAGGGAAAGATGTCCACAAGCACTCTGTTGCCTAATCTCTACTCTTTTAAAATAACTTTATTAAAATAAATTGTCTAGTCACTTGCTCCTGCTGTTAGATGGATTGTAATTTTTGTGTACTTTTGAGTGGGACTGAAGAATTGGAGAAAAATGTGAAATTGAGAATGTAAGATTTAGGAACAAGTGGGGATCAGCTGTACTAGACATGGAGTAACAAGTATGTCACCATTGTGCTCATAAGTACCTTCCTTGGCAACATCTAAAGTTTTTATTCTATTTTACATTTTTCCAAGGAAGGATACTTAAAAAATATAATTCCGAGGGTCAACATTGTCTTTATTTCAAACATGCGATGCCCTATTAGTTTAGAACATAAACACGAAGGATGATTTGAGCGCGTATTGTGCTCAGAAGTATTCATTTGCCTAGAAAGCTCAGAGTAAGCTATGGTGATAAGTGAATAGATTTGGGAGGCTCTGTTCTGATATTTGTGCTTTGAGATGTGTTAGTCCCTAACTGCTGTGACTTTGAGATTGTGCGGGTCTCCATAGAAAGCATTTTGCAACAATGCTCATGACACAGTCTTAAAATTCTAAAAGATGGAGACTTTTGATTTAGGTAATTCTGGTACACAGTGCCTAGAAAACAAAAGGTTAAAATATAATTTTAAGTAATCTCTCATTAATCTTAAATTATTAAAGGTAATATAAATCAATAATCTGTTTTATATGTACAGTATTTATTAAATTTATATGTCACCTATCTCACTATTAAAGCAACTCAGGGTGTAAAATAAATAACTGAAATCTCTAAAGATGAATATACTCCTTTGCATCCTCCCGCAGAAATCAGGAAGCAAGCTAAACTTTAATTTTTTCCTTCTTAAGTCTATTCTACCTTTTATTTAACTTTTTATAGATGTTCTGTAAAAATTGTATGTGTCACTTAAATATCGGTAACTGATCTGAACTTTTTGATACCTTTATGAACACACTGAAATGCCAATATGAATATGGGAAATAGCACGACAGAATTTAGGGAAGTTTGTAAAATAAAGGATAACCATTACTGATCTTATTTAAGAGGTGTGAATTGTGAAAGAAGGGCTTTTGATCCCAACCTTAATTGAAAACATAATATGTGTGGTTTGAATTTGAATTTATTTTTATGAGCAAATAAATCCCCATGCCTTCCTCTCTCTCAAATATTGAGATTTTTTTGAAATGATTTAGAATACAACTTGGCAAACAGAAGGAAAAATGTTATAAATAATCTCCTTTATTCTCTTTATGGAGACATAATTTTGGGATCCAAATATGTATGTGTGTTCATATGTACATTGCTTCCTTAAAATTGCCAACAAAAAATGTTTAATATGCATTTTTGAATAAGTTGATTCACCATCTATTTGTATGTAATTCAGGGATTGGTAACAGTCCAATAATTCCAGGGTTTGTTTGTTTTTAGATCTTCATATGATGATTTTTTTATCATGGCAAATGACACTTTAGAAGGTTTTCATGAAGTGAATCTAGCTTCCCCCACAACTCCAGATCTTTCAGAAGTGCACGAATCTAAAACTTCTGAAGAACCTGCCTCACCTACAATTATTTACCGGCTTCATCCTTCAGCTGTGTGCTCCTTACCTATTCAACCAAGTGCTCTGAATGTGACTGATCTTCCTACACAACCTGTCTACTCATCTGCCAGGCACCTAAATTGTGCAGAAACACTAGGTATCAGGTTGGTTGTAAAAAAAACTTCTATTGATTATTACACAGGTTGTGTAATTAATCACTTTGTATTATCTGTGAGTATCCTTGAGTCTTTTTTAAAAAAATGTAGTCAATGTGTAATGTATTATTTTGTAAAAATACACTCTTTCCTTACAGCATCAATGTCACAGAAACTGTACCGTGTTCTACCTCAGGAAGCTATGGAGGGTTGTCCAAACATGATCATTCCAGGAAGGACAACTGTAGCGAAGAGAGAGAATTTTTGCAGGGTGCAACAGTAACAGACTTTTCTGAAGGAAGAGATGATATTTTTGGGCTAAGCACAGATAGTCTGTCTCGTCTGCGAAGCCCATCGGTATTGGAAGTTAGAGAGAAAGGCTACGAGAGACTGAAAGAAGAACTTGCTAAAGCTCAACGGGTAAGAATAATACATATAATACATATACATATATACATATAATGCTATTTCTGTGTAAGGGCACAATATTGGTGTTGAGATAAAACATTTCAAATCCTTGCAATTCTTTATTTGTCTTTATTTTCTAACTTTTGTGTCCCCTTTCCCCTAACTATACCTTTCATTATATATCAACAAAATATTACACTGCCTTTTAGATAGCTTCCTAGCCATGTCACTGTTTATTGAAAAACAATGTTACACTGTGGAGGTCTGGGGAAGCTATGATGAATTTAAAGATGTCCCTACAGTGAGCAGAGTTCTCAACTATGGTGGACTGAGAAGTCATCAAACGAGCAGGCTTCTTGTTATTCCTCTCCAGACAAGGATAGAAATCAGGATTGCCCACATGAAGTCCAGACATGAAGACATACAGTAGTTCCCCACGGGAGACCACTGTGTAAAACAGTCGTCTCCTGGGACTTAAAACTCTGAGAGCTGAGAAAATCTCCATCTTTGCCTAAGCCATGGCTTTGAGACTTCAGAAGGACACTGGGTTTGCAGACTTCCCTTTTAATCACCTTTAATCACGTAGTAATTGCTTTTTGGATATTAAGAACTTGCTAAGTTGGATATTAAGAACCCGGCAAGTTGCAATGTATCAGGTAAGTTTTCTTCAATCCTTAGTGAAATAAGTTTTATAAAATTTAAAGGCTTTGGAAACTATTTTGGAATAAGAAAAAAAAGTGATTACAACATTGTTTTTTGATTGTCACAGATGGACTAAGGAGACAGAATTTGAAATAAGATTTTAAGAAATTATAAGAATCTGTCCTGTGGGAAAATGTAGTTTAGGAAAAAAATAAACCTTTTAAAATTAAATATAAGAAATATTCTTGTGGGAAAATGCTGTTTATCAGAATATTATATGATGGGACGTTGAAAATTAAAACATGGAACCAGAAAGAATTAAAATGCTATAACTAAAGGTTCAAATTATTCTGAATAATTTGAATTTATGGATATTTGGGATTAATACACTAATCAGAAGTTATTTTTAAGACTTATTACAAGACCGAGACTGATTTGAATGTGGATTTAAAAATGACATTACAATAATTTTAAATATTTTTAAATGAATATAGATAAAAGAAACCAGCTGGTGTCTTAATACTTAAAAGAAATAACAAACAAGAAAAGTGACTTGTATATGATTTTTAGTTTGGATTTAGAAAAAAAATGTCAGAGGAAACACATTTTTTTTTTGAAAGAAATCAAGGAATCTATTCAAAGGGAATAAAGATTAAGATCATTAAAAGTAAAATAAAGGAACATACATTGGGGTTATCTGATTAAGGTTAGAATTGTACATGTTTTTGGTACTCTTAATGGATTTTTGGCGATCAGGGCTGAATGATGAGGCTTCAAAATTTGTTTATAAATAAGACATAAGATAGATGAAGAAGATACCCTTTGTTGTATTTTTAGGGAACTTGATAAGGTACTGTGTTAAATAAAGGACAGAAATATAGGAATGTAGCTCATTATTTATGGTAAGTCTTAATGGACCTTTGTTGGCTAGAATTATATGATGAAAATCTATTTATAAATAAAAGATGAGACAATAAGAGTGCTTATGTTGCACCATTAGAGAAGAGGAGAAGCTACTGAAGTTGTACTTGTCATGATGAAGGGAGAAATTTTTTATCTATCTTTTTTTCTTCAATGTGATTTTTCCCCTTTTTTGCACTTTTTAATTTATTTCATTTTACTGTTACATTTTTTTAGTTTGTATTAGCTTTGTTTGTAATTGTAAACTTTAATAAAATTACTATTAAAATGTATATTGCTATTAAAACATTTTTCATAAAATGCCAATACCAAAATAAGATACTTTAGAGACTGATACAGAAATGCTGAGCAGTTGCATGCTGCAGTACTGATTCTAGAAGCTTGATGTTCACCTACAGAGGGAGAGATCCTTTCTGTTCTGGGATCTTGCAGCCATTGCCCTTTACTTTTCTTAATATTTACTGCCCCCTAGTGCTGTACATTATCTTTAATACTTGTTAAAGTGTAACGGTTAACACTTTGGGGCTTAAATAGACACATTTCTTTTTAGTTAACCAGTTTTTGTATTCTGATTTGGCTACAAATATAGAAGATATATGGTTTCATGAAATATAGTTTGTGTCTACATATGTGCAAGTTCCACAGATTTAATTCTCTCACCAGTTCAGAAAAATGCCTTTAATTACAGGCAAAAAAAAAAAAAAAAGGAATGTGACAATTGCACTTTCAACTTGTGGACACTATGTTAGCTGCCACATAATGTGGACCAGGGATCTTATTGAGGTCATGTTATATCTTTATATCCCTGGGTTCATTGTGTTTTCATTTTTTGTTCAGCCACTATAGCTGTTTATCATCGCTCTTAAGATTTCTTGAATTTTTGGCTGTGGGAAAGAGTTGTTATTCAGGTATTCAGTAAATATTTTGTAAGCAGGACATTAGGGTTCAGTCCTTAGAATCTAAATATAATTTGGGAAAAGGCCTCTCTAAATTTCTGGAACTTGCTGCTCGTGTGATATTGTTCAAGGCAAATCACAAAAGAACTTGACATAGTATAACTGAAAATTGAAAATAGCAGGAAAATATTTCACTAATGAAATATTCATTGGAATACTTGGACTAAAAAAGGATAAATGCAGTTGATTTTTAATGGTGATTTTAACAATTGTGAGATATTACTTTTTGAATTGTAGTTTCCTTCAATATACGCTTGCTGAAGTATAGTTTAATATATATAGCTGAAATATCTCCTAACTGAATAGTTAGCAGTCACTGAGTATCTACAATACTGACTTCTTTAAGAAATGCTTTCCTTGCATGAAAACCTACCATTTAATTTTACAAAGTATTAAAATGTGAAATTAAACTATTAGTTATACATTGATCTGTGGAAAGAAGAATTGGAATTTTCAGTTTTGGAAAATCAGTGGTCCAGGTGGTTAAAAAAATGAAACACACTGCTTATGATTTAAAAATGTAATTTATTCATCATAAAATATCATTTCAGGTTTATTTGACCCATACAAGAATATTTTAAAAGTGAGGGAAAGTAAATTTCTTCTTTTGATTGATACAAGCAATTTAACTTACCATGATTTGCTTTTGTTTTTATTGCTTTATTTTGGTTTCAGATTTTAACATTTATGTTAATATAACTTTAGAAAGACATAGTTAATAATCTCAATATGATATTGAACTATGCTTCTTAAGTCAGTAGCCTGCTTCTTAAACTCTCCCACTTATAATGTGAGTCCAAGAGAGTAGTGCAAATAAAGGAGTAAAGAAGATGGAGCTTTCATCTCCTGTTGACTTTGTGTTATTTTATATTAAAAATGGATTCTATGCATTTTGATTAGTTATCAAAAAAGCCAGGTCCCTGAATGAAATGCACATGGCTATCTAGCTACATATAACATGAACCTACTTCCATTTTTTTTTTTGAGTTTGCAAGTTAAAATGTCAGTTATGACTGTCAGAATAACATTTTTCTCCACAGGAACTGAAACTAAAAGATGAAGAATGTGAAAGGCTTTCCAAAGTACGTGATCAGCTTGGCCAGGAACTGGAAGAACTCACTGCTAGCCTGTTTGAGGTTTGTTAAAAGACTTTGGTATAGTACAGGGGTAGGGAAACTTGACTCTTCTATCACTCATGGACTTCAACTCCCAGAATTCCTGAGTGAGCCATAAAAGGTTCTCCATCCATGGCCTACTGGTTTTTCAGTTGTGGGGGAAATCAATTTTTGACTTGAATGGGACTGTTTAATATACAAATGTAGGACATATACAATAATGACATATATAATAATTAATATACATTTGTATATTAAACAGTCCCATTCAAGTCAAAAATTGATTTCCCCCACAACTGAAAAACCAGTAGGCCAGGGATGGAGAACCTTTTATGGCTCACTCAGGAATTCTGGGAGTTGAAGTCCATGAGTGATAGAAGAGCCAAGTTTCCCTGCCCCGGTATAGTATACTCTAGGAATGATATGGCTAATTTCATGAAACCTTTAATTGCCCCCCCCCCCCCAATAGAAAATTTGGGAAATCGTGCTTCTGAACGATGCATATTCAAAATAAAGAAAATTTCCCCCATAGGTTAGATTCAAATTTATGTTTTTGATTTTAGAATGGTATTTTCACAGTTAGTTTCTCAATGGTAATCAAGTCTCAGTGTCTGTTTAAATTTGCTTAGATTCATTTTTTCCAATTACTGTGCTAGTCTGCAGTAATTTTAAGGCATGGGTAAAATTCCTGAACAGTGAACTATAAGATTTTCAGAAGTTGTGTTACCACAATTGCAATCACCAAAAAGATCTTATTTCTGTCTAATGCTTCTTATAAAAGTAAAATAAAAGAGACATTTAAAAAATGAATATATTGGGTCCTATTTTATATATATAGTGTAGGTCTATGTGAAGTAATCATGCCACATAAGCTTTGTTTTCAATAGGAGGCTCATAAGATGGTGAGAGAAGCTAATATAAAGCAGGCCACAGCAGAAAAACAGTTGAAAGAAGCACAAGGAAAAGTAAGTTCTAATTCTTGATGTTATAGCCAGTGTTTACAAAATTTCTCTTTCTCTCTCTGCATGCTTCTTTTTTGTGATTTCCCAACTGCATTTCATATGTATTGAGTTCAAAAATCAGTTTCGTTGATTCTATTTCAAAACAATCTAAAGAGAAATTGGTGAGAAACTCTATTCACACCATTTGAGAATAGGGTTCTTATTTTCTGGCTGATTATTTTGCATAAAGGGCTAAATCAGTTTTCAAAGTTGGTGAACCTTTTCAGATTTAGCTCACTGCTGAAATAACCAGTGTAATCAATCTGTTTATTTATTTGCTCAAGTTATATGCTGCTTTTGGATACAAATTGAACACTGTGAGTGGCTTGCAGTTTTCATTAGAATAAAAATGCAAAAGATAAAAATAAGGAAATTAAAGCAAATCCTGGCAAAAAAAATCACTAGCATAGCCCTTAACTGTGTCCCTTTTATAGTTCCCCTTTCTTTCGATCTTTAATTAGATATTTTATATTCCCTATGTCAGGCTACACACACACACACACACACACACACACACACATGTGCGTGCGCGTGTGTGTGTGTCCCCTACTAAAAGAATTTCTCATAATTCTATTACTGCTATACATAAATATAACATGTATACAGAAGTTCAAAGGATACCAGATTTTAGTTCCCCCTCAAAATCAATCTTGTTGCTAGTTTCCTATCTATGCACTGAAATCTTGATTTTCCTGGGGTTGCAATTCTTTTTATTTCAATCACATTGGCTATGAATTGTGAAAGTTATACTTTACATCCATCTTTTTATGAAAACTCCAAGGGCAACAGACCATATCTTCTCTTGTTATTAATAAATAAATAAAACAATAGCATCTCATCTTACTATGCAGGATACAGCATGGCATGTTTCTAATACTTCTTTCTTTTGATATATATATTTAGATTGATGTACTTCAGGCTGAAGTAGCAGCTCTGAAAGCATTAGTGCTATCTACTTCTCCAACTTCACCAACAAAAGAGGTTCAATCTAGTGGAAAAACGGCTTTCAGAAAAGGCCACACAAGGAATAAGAGTACAAGTAGTGCAATGGGTGTCAATAACCAGGAAGTTAACATGATGCAGCCAATTGTAAAGGACTGCAAAGAGGTATTTTAATAATTGCGGTTTGGTGAAATATGGGGCTCAGGGATTGCAAAGATTATTGGGTGTTTTTACTCAATAAGTAGGACTGATGGCCTAGAGATTGAGCTCTCACCTCACAATCAGGAGGCTGTGAGTGCAATCCTAAATAGAAGAAGATTTCTTTCTCTGGGTGCACTGAGAATATATCTGCTGAATAAAACAGGAAGGGCATCCAGGCAGTAAACACTCTATTCAGTTGCCCATACTCCAACCCACAAGGGATGATGGGATTGTTAAAGAGGATGATGATTGGGTGTTTTTACAGAAAGTACTTGCTTATGATTTGAGCCCTCGTCTCCTGCCACATGCAACTGAAACTTTTCGGTAATGATGTTTGCGACTTGGAATGTTTTGTTTTAAAGAAAAGTCTATCTGTAATCACAACTTGTTAGACCTGTCACTATATTCATATGAATGGATTTTGACTGGAACATATCTTTGATAAGAACTGATTTTCCCTGTTTCAGTTTTAGCCACATAAAAGGAAATGCTGTATTGAGGAGAAACACTAATCCGTCCCCACATCTCCTGACTGTGGTTTGAATGATGCAGTTGTAGCTGTGCATTTAATGTAATTTAGTTTCATTGACTTAACGAGGCTTCTTCCTATATTAAACAAGCTAGTTGTTGTCAGGTTTTTATGGGATGAAATTAGGAGTTAATTCTGATAGGAAAAATATATAAAGGAAATAGAATCTTTTTTAAAAAGCACTAAATTAATAGCAACTGGGGGAATCTCAACAATATACTGTGTTCAGGAGGTCTCCCATTTGTTGCATCAGCCAGCCAATTATGCCATCCACTATTTTATTCCTTTCAATCATCTAGTTTACTTTATATTCCTTTTTTTCAACAGCCAATTAGAAATTTACTGAGCATGTGTAGCGGACTGAGAATTTATTTGCCATGTAACTTTAAATATTGGTGGTCCCAGAAATTGTTAACTTTTTTTAGTACAGTGCTACTTTGGCTTACATTAGTGCACATCTCTTAAATCCAAAAAAGAAAAAAAGAAAAAATGATTGATGCTATGAACAATGGCATATATGTATGTAAATATTAAGAAGCCAAAGGTAGAAGTTGACAAATAACTAACACTTCAGATCAGTTTTCTCTGTTCTGGGTATTCTTCAGATATGTGGACTTCAGTTCTTAGAATTCCCAGTCAATATGGCTATTGCTAAACTGGATACCCAGTTTGGGGAAGTCTGCAGTTTAGTGCCTTGAAGTTGTTATGCATTGGTACAATGGAGTTAATTATCTTGATTTAAGTGAAAGAATGAAGCATCTGCAAATAATGTGGATTTAGAGTTCTTAACAAAGCTCTGCTGTCCACAGATTTACATCACTGAAGTGCAAGTGCTATGTAATGTCTATCATTTGTGATTATCGTTTGGTACAATATAGTTTATGGTATAGTGTGATTCTTGAATGAAGAGTTGCGCTCTCATTTGCTTATTTTATTTCAATGTTAGGCTGATATATCTCTGTACAACGAATTCAGATCCTGGAAGGATGATCCTACCATGGATAGGACATGCCCGTTTCTCAATAAAATCTATGAAGAAGACATCTTTCCATGCTTAACCTTCTCAAAAAGTGAGGTAATGCTTTGAAAACATATAGTGATAAAGAAGGTCTTTAAAACAATTACCACCAAATACTTTGATATATTTAGTTAAGTTTGAAATTCCCTCTTTTATCTGCAAAGTATTTCCACAGAATTATAGGTAGGATTGATTTTGTTTGTATTGCATATACTGTAGCTCTGGGCCACTTTACAGTTAAGGTCATAAATATTATTTCAAGAAAAAAGTTTTCTCTAGATTTGTTACTGAGAGTTTCAAAACAGCATATTGAACCTTTGAGCAGTAAATGATTTCAAAGGAGTCCATGGTGGTTGGATATATCACGTTTTCATTCCTGTGTTTCTAAAGCAGTTTTTCTCAAACTTGACCACTGGAAGGTATATGGACTTCAACTCCCAGAATTCTCAGGGAGCCATGCTGGTGAGGAATTCTGTGCGTTGATGTCCATACATCTTTAAAAAGCCAAGATTGAGAAACATTGATTTAAAGAATTGAAGATATACACTTCCTTTCTCATAGATAAATTAATAATATATCCTGAAAGAGCTTCTAGCATTCTTTGTCAAGTCTTGGGAAACACCTTAGAAGAACTATTACTTACCTCTTTGTGGTCTAATTTCAGTTGGCCTCTGCTGTCCTGGAAGCTGTAGAAAACAATACATTAAGTGTTGAGCCTGTTGGTCTGCAGCCTGTTCGATTTGTAAAAGCTTCTGCGGTTGAATGTGGAGGACCCAAGTATGTTGTAATTTAAGAATCTTATGGTACTGGGAATATATTGTTGGGTTTCATTCTGGCAGCTAGAAAGAAATGACTAGCAGATTTACCCTAAAAAGAAAACCCCATAAATGTTGCACGGAAAGCTACAGGATGCCCTATTTCTTCCTTAGCAAGGCATGGATCTCCATTTTGTTTTATACAGAGAGGGAAGGTTGTGTTCCCTGCAGGTATTACCAGGACAAAGGCAGTTGATGTGCCATCAGAGAGATTAAGAAAAGAAAGTACTATATTTTTTGGAGTATAAGACACACTTTTTCCACCCCCAAAAGTGTGTGGAAATGTCTGTGCATCTTATACAGCGAATGTTGGTGAAGCCCTGCCCACCCGCCAGCCCCCACCCTTTGGCCTCTGCCTCCCAGCACTTTGCCTTCTTGCAGCAAACAACAAACAGCCTGTTTCAGCTTCAGCACAGCCTGATTAGCACAAGCAGCTGATTGTCACCAGCCTCCCGACTACTGTTTCAGGCTGCAGGAATTGCCATTGCTTATTGCCACATCTGTGCGCCCCATTTTTGGCCTCCGCATCCCATTTTTAGCCTCCACACACCCTGTTTTTGGCCTCTGCACACCCCATTTTCAGCCTGTTCCAGATGGCGGGGATCAGAATGGATGGAAAATGGAGGTGGCAGTAGGCTATGGCAATTCCTGCAGCCTGAAACAGCTGATGGTCAGGAGGCCAGTCCAACTGACAATCAGCTGCTTGTGCTAATCAGGCCGTGCTGAAGCTGACCAGGCTGTTTGCTTTTTGCTTCAAGGAGGCAATTTGCTGGGAGGCAGATTTTCCCCCCCTTGTTTTTCTCTCCAAAAGCTATGCACCTCTTATACTTCAGAGCATCTTATACTCCAAAAAATACGGTAGATTGGGCTATAACTCTAAGTAAGTCTGAGAATCACTATTACCCAATCTCAGATCCTACCTTAGTTTATGGGGTTTAGATTAATAACCAAGTCTAATTTCTTAATAAAATCAGGAGCAGTAGTAACATTTACTGATGGTGATCCTGAAGCTGAATTAGAGATTATGGTTGTGAGAACAAATATTTTGTAAGTTTAAGAATAATTATGTAATGGAAAAGAACAACTTTCTAGAATCTAATTTCACTTTCTAATATTTTATGTGGCATCCATGTTCTTTTATTGTAAGGCAAATAACTATAAAAATAATAATAGATGAAAATACTGGCACATGTTCTAATATTTGTACAGCAGCTTTTTTACTTTAAATGTTGATGCTTCATCTCCAAAAATAATACTTTGTTACCATGTGCATTAAATAATGTCAGTGACATGCAGGAGTTATAAAGCACGTTTATATACAGTTATTATCCTCTTAGTTTTGCTAGTTGCCTGGGACTACAGTATTACCAGGCATCTGATGTGCTCCAGTACTTGTATATCCCAGGCTCTGCAGACCTGACAGTTAATTGGCTCAAAAAGCAAGGAGTGATTCTTCCTGTCTCCATATTTTACTGTGCTTTCTACATTTTCGCTCTTTTATCTCCACCCCTGCAAATTACACACCATCTTGGCTATACCCCCATTTTATGGTATAAGGGAGTCTTTTTTTCCCCTCAGGATCAGGCATTCCACCGATCTCATTTCCCCCATGGCCTTCCCATTGCATCAGAAGCTTGCTTCAAGTATTGCTTCAAGTGGCACTTTTTAGGTATCATTAGGTAGCTAGCAAGAGATGAGCATCAAACTATCTCCACGGGGTTCATAGAGATGGTAAACCACAACAAAGTGAAGGGATCTTAAGTCTGAGATGCTTTCAGGCAAAAAAAAAAAAAAAACCCACACAACGATTTTTTAATTTTTTTTTTTTTTAAATGGCAATTCTGTCTGGATTTGTAAATTTACCTATGTGGTTTTAACAGCTTTACTATTGTAAAGTTTTTATTGTAAACACTGAGCACATCAGTTCATAATTTGCAATAATTTCTGTCAAAGTGGTATAAAAATAGATGACAGGCTCTTTGGCAAAAAAAAACTGTACTATAATTCAGTATTCATGTAAATTAAATCGTAACCCATCTTTTAAAACTGTTCCATTCTGTTGACAGGAAATGTGCTCTCAGTGGACAAAGTAAATCCTGCAAGCATCGGATCAAGTTGGGGGATTCAGGAAACTACTATTATATTTCTCCTTTCTGTAGATACAGGGTAAGTGTTGAGCTCTAAATCATGGTTTGTAGATTTGGATCAGGTTTTAATTGAACATCTGGAATTCTAATTCTTTATCTCCCTTCTTTTGTACAGATCACATCAGTATGTAATTTCTTCACATATATTCGATATATTCAGCAGGGGCTTGTGAAGCAGCAGGATGGTAAGTTAAGAATGAGGCTTCCTGTAAGAAAGTTGTGTATTTCTTAGCAGGGCCGCTATGTTTTTGCAGCAGGTTGCAGATTTTCAGAAGTGTATTTTTGCTATATAAATCAAGAACTTGGGGAAGTTGTAATAGTCATCTGTGCAAATTTCAAAGGGGCAATATGTCATTAAGCTTCTAATTTCTAGACAATCACTGGGTTTCATATAAATATATCCACATATTTTTGTGACAGATTGTCTGTTTCAAGGGAGGGTAGAAGAAGAAAAATAGAAAACAGTGTTTCATTCTTCTAAACTGGGCAGAGATATATACACCAGTTTTCCTATTCTCTTAGTTCTTTACATCCTTTTGTGAATATTCCATATCTGCATTGCCCTTGGGGATTAAACTACATACACTATTTAAAAGTTAGGTTCAAGCATGCAAACCAATTTTATCTTCTACTGATAAAACATTTTTAAAGGTGTAAGCATCATCACTGCACTATTTGCATGGTCAGTATTTTTGTATAAAAATGTTGCAAGAGATTTGATATATTTATCCTTAAATCTGTAAACATCAGTTAAGCAATCTGTCATAACTTTTTATATACACAGTATGCACAGTTATGAATTCTAATTTTCTGTTAATGGTTTAACCAAACTTTAAGATCTACAGTATTAGAAGGTAGTGGAAAATGTTATTTTGAAATTTAGATGTTTTTATCTGAGTCCTTGCATCTTAAAAAAACCTAAATGTAAGATCCTAAAGTAAAGAAATATTTTATATAAACAGAAGTAAGTAAATAGTTTTAAGGCAGGAAAAATATAATTAACATAGTGCAGTTGATAAAGATTGACATATCATTAGATTTCACCCCAAAATCTAGAATTAGTTTGAAAGATGAACTGAATGATAGGTATGTAATCAAAAGTGGCTAAACATAATGCTATTCTTAATATAAAATACATTATTATTTTTTCCAATCAGCACTTCTCAGTAGCTGCATTCTATTTAAATAGTGCTTTTAGTATCTGAAAACACAGATTTAACATTGCTAAATATCTTTGTTCATTGGGAAATTTTAAAGAAGCATTTTTTTCCACAACATCTCCTTTTCTTTTGCACAGTGGACCAGATGTTTTGGGAAGTAATGCAACTGAGGAAAGAGATGTCGCTGGCAAAACTTGGCTATTACAGGGAGGAGCTGTAACTTCAGTATTTCTGGTGCCTGCATGAACTTCCATAACTGTACATACATTTGAGCCAGTTCTATATCCATGTCTATTTATTTTAAAATGGGTCCAAGATTATGTGCAAGATTGCACTATATACTTCTATAATTCAGCAGAATAATTTTACACAAGAGATTAAAGCTGGCAAGGAAAGATAATTTTCAGGTATACTTGTGATTATAACTTATGACTGAGAAATTCAGGTGAAACACTGCTCAAGATTTATGTGCATTTTTGTGTGTTCTAGAGAGTTTTTAATATAAAATTTCATCTTAATAAAAGATTAAATCTGAACTTCCTGGGTCTGAAACATTCTTTTAAAAAATGTGTAGTTTGTAAAATGTATGAAAGAAAGTGATTATTTTTTATCAAAAACCAATAACCAAGGGCCTGAAATGATTTTGGATAAATGGTGATTAATTAGTGCAAGCATGGATATATAGCAAATGTTCATACTGAAGCATGAATTTCCATTAAGAATAAATTGTTTGCAATAAGATGTGGAGGTGAATTTTAAAAAAATCAACTACTGCTGATTTAGCTTTCAGAAGTATTGAATGTCTGAATGCTTTCATCTTGATTCTACTTAGCAAAATTTAAAATTATTTGGAGTATTTTTTCTCTTCAGTCTACAATATTTGCTTTGTTGGGAAATCAAACAGGAACATGGGATTGTTGTGTGTGATTAGTGAATGAATAGAAAGGAGTTCCTGCTGTAGAAAACAACATGGAAAAGGTTCGTCAGCGTTGAATAAAAATTAAATCACATTCACCCGTGTGCCAAAGTAACGCTCCCACATCAATAGCTGCTGAATAGACATTCTGTACTGTCAGTATTGATGAGATCCCAAAGCACTCTGATTCTTATTGATTTTTCTTATTGATTATTGATACCCTTTTATTTGAGCATGGCTAAAAAAACTTTCAAATCATTAACTTCACTATTACTTCTCTTTCCAACACTGAAGTGTGACCATGTTTTTTCTATTTCTAGTTGAGGTTTACTATGCATTACACAGGTTGCTAATTCAAAGCAAATACTGGGACATTTAATCATTTCTTGCCCATGGTCATTAGGCTCCATATTGCAAAATAAAAGCTACAGAGATGTTGACAGAAAAGTTGACAGATATGATCTGAATGGTAGCTTTCTGTATCTTGCAGTACTATAAACCAGTTCTTCTCAACGTTTTTCTCTCACAGATAAATAATTAGAACTTGAAATAATTTCCAGGTCTCAGGAAACCGCTGGATAAAAATGGCAAAAAGTACAAAAACTGCACAATACAATACAATACATGTTTTTACAATGTTTACACTAACAGCAACCATTGTGTTGCACAAGAAGTTCCAAGACATTTTTTAAATCATGGAGAGCCAGATTGTTGTAGTCCCTTTCTCTATCTTACCAGAAATGTTTTATAGTTTTTTAATGCCTATGCCAGACAATTTTGCTATGTTCAGGGACTGTATTTTTCTTCCCCCACTTTTCTGGTTTTTGGGAATGCTGGTTAAGAATTTCCGTATTTGAGCATTAAAATCATTGTCATGATATTCAAAAACTGCAGCCAATCCTCTGTGCGTGTCATTCACAAGTTTCAGCTATATTGTTCAGGAAGTTGCAAACAACTGCATGTGCTGCTTTCACAGCTCCGTATTGGTATACTTTCTCACTCTTACATACATGATGTATCTACAGTGATGTTCCTTGTAAATGTAAGAGGAAAGACTCCAGCAAAATAAGCAACTTTTGTTGCCTTCTTAGTTGTACATCAGTTGGAAATTACCTTGAATCTGAGAGCAAAGGCCTGTCTGTAAAAAGGAAATAAATGTAAAAAGGAAAAATAATCTCCTAAGACTGGATAGAATCTCTTAAAGCAGAGGTGTCAAACTCTATTTCATTGAGAGCCACATCAGGGTTGTGTTTAACCTTGGGGGGGGGGCTGCAGATGCGTGACCAGGGTGGGCGTGGCCAGCATGATGTCACTTGTGTTGGGGGGTCCTGTGGTGGCCCGAGCGATCTGTCAGTGAAAATGGGTTCCCGAGGCTCTCTTTTCAGCTGCGACAGCCTCCTGAAACCCTCTTCTAGCAAGAATGGAGCTTAGGAACGTGGCTCTCAGGAGCTCCATTTTCATTGGCAGAGGTGCTGGGGGGCGGTCCTTTGCTGTTTCCAGACCAGATCTAAGCACCCCATGGGCTGGATCCAGTCCCCGGGCCTTGAATCTGACACCCCTATCTTAAAGCAAAAATGAACAAATTGATGAAAAGGCACATTGGGCAATATACTGAATTATTAGAGAATTAATTAGTATGCTTTTCTTGCAATAGGATGGTAGAATGAGCGGTATATTTGAAGCTCACTGAAAACAATATGTCTAGTTGTATTGGGGCTTTTTGTTTTATTTTTGAGTGTATGTGGAAACACTTTTTTTGGTGGCCATGGGTGTGGTGGGTGAAAATGAGCCCTACTTTGAACATTAAATATCTGAAGGAGTATTGAAAGTGCTACTGTTTAATTTCTAATGTGATCCCTTTTTCCTAGGTATCAAAAGACCGAAAAAATTAAACATTTTGGGATCATAACATATTGACTCGGTGAGAGAAAGAGAGCTGACAAAACTTAATAGTTTATTTTTTTTCTGCCTTAAAAGCTACTGTGAATTTAACTATAATGAAAGATGGTATAAAAGCCTTTTATCAGTATGCTTTGAATTTGAAATAGTTTATGTTTCCTATAAAAATTAAAGAGACTAATAAAAAATTGGCAAATCATCTTTCACAATTCGATGGTTGGCATACCCAGCATTAAAAACATGAAAACGAACATTCATAAATTAAATACAAAGCAAAGGAGAAAGACAACAGAAAATAGGAAGGAGTATATGTAGCTTACAATCGGACTGGAGTCTTTGATTCTGTCTGAACCTGGTTATGTGCTTGCAGACTTTTCATTACATCAGCGTGCATAAGTGCAAATCATTATTAGTGCATTGGTCAGATAATGAAAGTCTGCAAGCAAATAACCAAGGTCAAAGAGCATCAAGGACTCCACAGAACAGAAAAATGTTCAGAATTTAAGACCTACTAGTAGTCAATGCTTGTTTAGAGGTATGATAACATGTCTTGTAAAATTTATTCTATAAGAGTCAGTTGAGTACAGCTGAAGGGAGATTAAGGCCTGCCATAAATTATATTTCAAATAGACTTGAATCTTGGGGTGGAGAAGAGGAAGGGAAGGATAAGGCCATAATCTGTTCATCTTAATCTTGGATGCATCTTCAAACAATTTATTCAAGATTTGCATTTGTAAAATAACTATATAAAATGTTGTTTGATTTTGTATGTAAAAACACAATGGTTATTCTTGTAGACGAACCCATAAGTATATTTCAGTGTATAGGTAGTCCTCGGCTTAACAACCATTTGTTTAATGACTTTTTAATGTTTAAAAAGTCTGTTTAATGAAGTTACAAGGGCACTGAAAAAATGACTTATGACTGCAAGATCCAATCTGGGTAATTTCACCAGGGCCAAAGGTTTAGTTTTTTAATCTTTCAGACTCATACTGGAGTCCATCCCCAGGGAACTTCTCTCTACCAGAAAACCACCTTTCCCCGAAAATAAGACCACATCTTATTTTGTTTTGGGCTTGAAAATAAGCACTCGGGCTTATTTTCAGGGAGTCTTATTTTATTGATGTGCAGGAGGTGGTGAGTGCAGGGGCCAATGCGAAGGGGACCACAGCAATTGCTGGCCCCGCCTTCTCCATCCCACTGTCTGCTTGCCTGCAGCTGCAGTGGGCCAAGTTCTCGGCATGTCCAGGAGTCATGGCCATGTTGGAGTCTGAGTCCATGGAGGATGACGAGTTGGAGCTGGGGTCAAGGGGGGTGGCTTCGAAGGAATGTGGGGAGGAGCAGAACAAGGCAGCCCCCGGTCCCTTGGTCTTGGGACGCTTGCCATCAGGAAAGAATGGAGGCAGGATGGCCAAGAGAGGGCAGGCAGTGGAGATGAGGAGTGATGGAGCTCGGGTGAGGACTTCCCTCTTCTGATCTCCGAGCATGGAGGGTGGAGAGGAGGCGGGAGCAGCGCAGGCTGACCCAACAACTCGGGAGGAGAGCACCCCACCTTTCTTCACAAGGCACACCTGGGGACTGAGATTTAAGATGCTGTGAGAAGGGATGCTTGTCAGGAACAAGTGCTGAATTAATGGAGTTGTGTGTGCCGTTGCCAACGTCTGGAGTTCGCTGGACTTTCTTGCCTTATTAATGCCTTGTTCCTTTGCCTTGCTGGACTTCTTGCCTTGAAGCCATTGTGCTAACAGTGTTTTGCTGGAGGTGTGTGTGTGAGCACCTGAGACTTGCCATAAACGTGGGAGCATTTGGGGGAAAGTTGCAGCAATAAAGGGGAGTTCAAACTGTCAGATGTCTGTGTTGCCTTCATATCTTGCCCCAGGTCACCCCATCCAGCCTCCACCCGCACTGCCTACTGGCCCAGCTTCTGCTGGGACATTTCTCAGCTGTGGTGGGCACAATGCTAGTGTAGCTACCCATGCTGCTGTGGCCTTGCAGGGGCTCTTTGCCCTCCTGGTAGCACTGCTCTTGGATGCCCTGCTGGGCTGCTCCTGCCTGGTGTGGGATGAGTCATTCCAGATCGAAAACCTCAGGAGTCCTGCCAGCCTGCCAGGACCCATTCACGAGTGGCTGCCGATGGAGCCATGCCACTTGTGCCGCCTTGCCCGCTGCCTTTGGGCTCCTGAGTGTCAGCCTGCACGCCTATCCGGTGCTCTAGGCTATGGGCTTACAGCTATGCAGGTGCTGCAGCTCTCTTACCAGTTGTGTGAGGCAGGCATGCTGCTGCCCCTGGTCGCCTTTAGCATCTGCAGCTCTGCAGCCACCTCGCCTTCCTCCTGGCCCGGCCCAGCCCACCATCAAGCTCTGGTTGCTACCCAGCAGCCTCCACTAACTCCTGCTGGAGCTACCACACACACAGCTGGTAAAAGAGTTGCAGAACATGCCAGGGGTCTGAAGAGCGCCGGCTCAGCATAGATATAGCCTGATGTCTATAGCATCAAATAGGTGTGCAAGCTGACACTCAGCCCAAAAGTGGCGGTGAGTGAGGCAGCACAGGCGGCATAGCTCCATCAGCGGCTGCTCGTGAAGGGGTCCTGGCAGGCCAGCGGTGCTCCAGAGATTTTTTATCTGGGATGACTCATCCCATGCCAGGGAGGAGCAGCCCAGTAGAGCAACTCTGCCAGGAGGGTGAAGAGC